TCACACATCACATACATTTTCTGAATGTGTGCTCTACCATACTGAATGTGTTGTAATTAAACCTATTTTATAGTATCTTTTGTTTTGAATTAACGACGCCTCTGGCTTCCTGGCAAAAGTAAATACCACATTGAGAGCTTGTGAGCTATGGTTTTAAATAAGTACCTACCTGCAGAATGCTTTAAACCAACTTTTCTAGTGGCCTATTAGTGAAAGTGGGTATCCCAGCTATAAGTGTTCTGGAGCCTTCTCATACTAGCGTAGAAGAACTGACTGTTAAATTTTCAGTGTAATCATTTACATCTCAGAAATAACAAATGTTACAAACTAGAGTTTAAGTCATTGTTTTGTTGATTTCTAGATTTAAGAAAATGATGGAGAAAATATTAATAATGCAAATTAAACTTAAAAGTGGATCATACATACTGGTTTGGTTTTTTTTTTTGACAGCTAGTTGTTAAACATTTAACAGCACGCCATTGCCTAGGTCATACACGTGTTAAAGGAGAGGCATTATGGCATAATGGATAGAGTGCTAGACCTGGAATAAGGAAGACCTGGAATAAAATCCTGCCTTTGACTACTATCAGCTGTGTGACTATAGATAAGTTCTGGACTTCTCTTCTATTGGTCTCAGTTTCTTCATCTGTAAAATGGAGATAAGAGCTATCTCAGAGGATCATTGGGAAGCCCAAATAAAATCATCTATGTAAAGCTCATTGCTAATCTTAAAATCTACTTAAATGTCAGTTATTATGAGAATATAATTAAACCTACCGGACATTTGTATAACATGTTTAAGTTTGCAAAGGGCTTTATTTACTTTATTATTACCTCATAATTCTCTTTCATGAAACGGATGAAATATTCCACGTAAATCTGAAATAAAAATTAAAATGTATCCTGACTGTGAGATCCTTGAGGTCAGGGACTGCCTTTTGTCTTTCTTTGTATCCCCCAGTTTAGCACAATCTTTAGCACATAGTAGGTGCTTAATAAATGTTTACTGATTGGTTGATTGACTGAATATTTCCAGTCATGGCACAAGAGGTTAGCACTGGACTAGGGTCTGGAGCACCAGGGTTCTATCCCTTCCTACCTTTTTGACCTAGGTGCATTCACTTAGACCAGTCTGACCTGGGGTCAGACCTCTCCCTTGGTCTCAAATTCCTTATCTGTACAGTAAGAGAATTAGAGTGGATATCATTTGAGCTCTCTTCCAACTAGGACATGTTTAATTACAGATGAGAAAAACAACTGGACTAGATCACAGGGGGTGGAAAATCTATCCTGGAGACAGAAAGTTTTGAAAAGGTTGAGAGGGATTTTTACAGATGAAGAAACTGAGGCCCAAAGAGGTTTAGGGACAACTAGGTGGTCAATCGAGATCACATAAATAGCAGAGTTTGGATTCAATGGTAGACGATCAGGCAAGGATCAGGGGAGACATTCATCCCAAAGGAATTATTTTTACAGATGATGAGACTGAGATTTAGTGACATCATCTGGGCAGTCGCATAAGTAGCAAGTGGCACTTGGTGCCACTAGGTGGCACTGTGATCCTCTTCGTTCATTATAAGAAACTACCCCTGGGTTAGAGAAAGGATGGGCACTAAGTGATAAAGCACAGTGGATAGGGACCAGTTTCTGTCTTGGGTCATGGTGCAGATTCAGATTTCTTAAAAACCTAAAAAATATCTATGATTTTGTCAGTGTGGGAATTCCCTTGACCAATGCAGGATGCACCCCATTCCTCTTCTTCATCTTAGTAGCCTGTCCTGAATTGTTGTGGACCTCCTATAAAATTTTGCAACCATTAGGGAGCATCCTGGTTGGGAACCTCTCTGCACTTAGTGGGTTTGTGGGGTGTGTGTGGGTATGTATCAAAGCATGAGTAGATCCTCTGATGATATGTATCATCACATTCCAAGCTTCTTCAGCTAGGTGGAACCTTTTAGAACTTACATTTTTTGGGCCCAGAATGAGAGCACCAAGGATCATCTCTCCACCTCAGCAAAGCATTTGAGGAAGACTTGGTTTTCATGTGGATTTAAGCTACTGTATTTGTCCTCCCTGAAAATTCCAAAGAAAGTATTTTAGTGGTGTTCTTTATTTCAATTTACATAAATTTGCCAGTCACAGTCAGAAAGCCTTAACTCTTGATATGTAAAATACTCTAAATGAATCAGTCTGACTGATAATGAATTAGTCAAGGCTGCTTGCAAAAGGCTCTAGTGGGAGAGCAGCTTCCTTTCCCTTTATACAAGAATTGGGAGATCAGCTTTGGGGTTTACAGGACCAAAATAGGTACTGGCCTCAGAAAATAAGAGTGCTTTCAGCATCTTTTGGATCTGATGGGTCTATTCAGTCATTCATGGGATGATCAAAAAGCCTTGCCAGAAGCTAGATAGGGCAATCCTACTTTTAAAAGTCATTTTATTTCTTAGAAATCCATTTGTTTTGGGACAAATTATATATATATTATTTTCTTCTCCAGGGCATTTTAAATAGAGACAAAGGATGAAATGAGGTGATTGTAGTTTGTGCCTCAGCTACTGGAGTAATTTCAACAAGATTGTTATTGAGATAAGTCTGTAATTTATTTAGTATTATAATTTTTATTATATTGGTGTGACCCAACCATGAACAATTAATCTCTCTAAATATTTGTCTTCCTTTTTTTCTGTAAAGAGTGTTTTATAGTTGAATTCATATAAGTCCAGAAAGTGTCATGGTATGTTTACTTATAAGTATTTTATACATTTTGAAGTTATTTCTAATGGAATTATTTTTTTTTTTATCTCCCACGGCTAGGTTTTATTAACAATATACAAAAAAGCAGATGATTTTTGTGTGTTTATTTCATATCCTACCACTTTATTATAGTTATTATTTCAATTTTTTGGTTTAATTTCTGTGTTCCTCTAAGCAAATCATCATATCATGTAAAAATAAGGGTAATTTTGAATCCCTTTTTGTCTATGATAATTTCTTTTAGCGCTCTTACAGTAGGTCGGTGTTTGATCCATTACCTCTCAGGTTCACATGGGAACAGCTATAGTAATCCCTACCACTCTCCTACTGACTCATCTCCTTATTAATTCTATCATTTTTCAGATTCAAAGACAGTCCAGTGGGTATGCTCTGAAATAATCTTAGATATTATTACAATTATAGAAACTGTCTCTTTAATCAGTTCAATACTTCCCTAATAGTAAAACTGGAGATATCTCTTCTCCTATAGGCTAGCTTTCCCTCCCTCATTCTAAAAGCATGAACTTTTAGGCTTATATAAAATCAACATTAATGGCCATGTCATTTATTAGCAATAGCAATTATATAAAAATGCAAATATGCATTCAAACATCCTCTCAGTTGATATGGAAGTTGAGGGGATTCTGAGGGAAAAGGTTGAGATTTAACCTCTGATCAAAGCAAGAGGGAGAAAGGAGTTGTTGCTTAGGCTTCATAATCACCACATGCCACAATTACTGGTTTGGCCCAGTCTTGTCTTTAGTCCACAGCTGCCTCATTCTGATCTTCTCTCTACTATATCTTCAATCCATGCAGTTATCTACTAACATCTTGTTCATTTCCTGTCTGATGTCATCAAATTTGTGTGGGGAACCCTTTCCTTCAAGCCACTGGAACAAAGTGAGCTCTCTCAAATTCCCGTGAAAAATTTAGTCTCAGTATTCTCTATCATTCTTGGAAGATCTTCCAAAATTTCTGTGATCTGTGTATAAGCATCCAGGGATTTCACCACAATTTCTTTTTTTTTATGGCTAACAGGTCTAGAATTATGTATCAAATAATGGTGGTGACAATGTGCTACAACCTTGCTTTACCCCTGATTTTATTGGAAAGGCTTCTACTGTTGCTCAATAACAAATAATGCTAATTCTTTGGCTCACTCTTACTGTTAATTCATTATCTGTAAGAAGGACATTTTTGGAAGAACTGAGAGACCAGTCATAGACATCATTACTTGAGGCAAAGTGTCCAGAGCAAAGGAGATTATAGTCTAACAGTTTTCTACCCAGATCAGGCCATATGTAGAATACTGTATTCATTTATGGATGCTGCATTTGAAGACAGGTATTTATAAGCTGAAACCACTCTGTAGCAATTATTAACCTATTCTGGGATGGATAATAACTCACTTTTATGTAAGATTCTATCACTTGCAGAATGTTCTTTTCATAAAAAGCCCATGAAAGAGCTTATAGATAGTAATGTAAAAAAAGTGAAATAGCATGGTGTAATAATAAAAATTGACCTTTACATAGTGTCTTAAGGCTTGTGGAACACTTTACCTACATTATCTTATTTGAGTCTATTAATAAACCTGGGAGGTACACAGTTATTATTACTCCCATTTTATGGATGAGGAAACTGAGACTCAAAGAAGTTAAGAGACTTGCCCAAGGTCACTAAGTGCCCACAGCAAGATTCAACCCCAGTTCTTTCTGACTCCAAGTCCATTGCTTTATCCACTGTATCATACTGCCTCTTTGAATATATAGAGCACTGAATTTGGAGTCAAGAAGACATATATTCAAATCCTACCACATATACTTACTATCTGTGTGACCCTGGGCAAATCATTTCACCTCTGTTTGCCTCAGTTTCCTCAACTGTAAAATGAGGATAATAGTCCTACCTCACTGGGCTGCTGCAAAGATCACAGAAATAAACAGATGTAAACTATTTTGCATACTTGCAAGTAAGTATCATTATCCTTCTTTTATGAATGAGGAAACTCAGACTCTGAAAGCTTAAATAAATAACTTTCCCATGATCACCTCACTAGCTAGCAGGAAGAGCCAGATTTTGGACCCAAATGATCTGATTTCAAATCCAATACTCTTTCCCATAGACCATGGATCTAATTTGATTTAAACTTGCCCAAGCTAATTTAAGATAATGAGCAAGAAGACAAGATTCCAATACACTTTCCCCACCACTCCCTGGTTAACAGATCCAGCCCAATTCAAACATTTGACTTCTTTGTATATGTTTATTTTCTTGAGTAAATATATCATAGAATCATAGGAGGGGTCTGGGAGCACTAAAAAATGTGATCCTTACCCTGCATTAGGCTTTGAGGGATGAGATAGCCAAGCCAGGAGAGGATTAACCTGATAATGGGAACTTTTTAAACCAATGCAGACAGATCACAACCTCAGTATGACTCTCTCTGTGTCTGTCTGTCTCTCCTATATTCTAAAATCAAAGATACATGAATTTTATATGGAACATTCTTTGGAATTATTAGCATATTATGTTGTGATTTGGATGGCCATTCTTACATTAGCCTTAATAATCAAAAGATGTTCAATAAAGTCTGAAAAAGATCAAACACAGATGTTTTAAAAGGAGAGGGGATTAATTAGGTCCCATGATCATTCTTATCATTGATGTGGAAAGAGGAGCCATAGTAAATGCCACTAGGAAAGAAAAAAAGAAAACATGGAGAATAAAATGGCATGGTCTGTTTTTTGGTTGAGTCTTCGGTCTCTTGGTTAACATGATTTGATCTGTTAATTTTCAGCATGGTAGATATGGTCCCTGTCCTCTTCTGGCCCCTGTAGCACTTCATAATAAGGCCTCTTCAACATTTGAGGTTCTTCAATGACATCCTCCGTGGAACTTGAGTGGTAGAGGAAATCTCTGTCTTCCTCAGGTAACTGCATCGGATTTCTAAAACGTCTCAAGATATCTGTGTCTAGGGATAGAGAAAGTCTGCATTTAGTTCCCACAGAATTGAAAAGAAGCGTTCTCCTTGGAACTTTTGGTGGCCCCTTTTCCTATCAGATATTTTTAAATTTTACAAGTCCCCAATATATAGTGCTAAAAGTTAGATTCTGTTAAAGGTGATATATGAGGAAGTAGAGTACAGTTATTGTTTTTCCACCCTTTGAAGTCTGACTTTAGACCTCAGTCCTTAACTGAAACTGTTCTCAGTCAATCAGTGAATAAGCATTTAATAAGCATGTACTATGTGTCAGAGGGGCTATGCTAATCACTGAGGATATAAATAAAGGCAAAAGTATGGACCCTGCCCTCAAGGGGCTCACATTCTGTTGGAGAAGACATCATGTAAGCAACTATAAACATATAAAATATTTGGAGCTTAAATGTCTTAGACAGAAAGTACTAGTAGTGGGAGAGAGGAAGTTGGGAAGGGCCTCCTAAAAAAGGAGGAATTTAAACTGAGTTTTGAAGAAAATCAGGCAAGTCAAGAAGTGGAGGTAAGGAAGGAGGGCATCCTAAGCATGAGAAACAGCCAGAGAAAAAACATGGAGTTGGGAGATGAAGTGTCCTGTGTGGAGAACACCACCAGAAGGATAGAGCTAGGTCATAGAGTGAGTGGAGGGGAATAAAATGTAAAAAGATTGAAAAGACAGGAAGGGGCCATGTCATGAAGGGCTTTAAATACCAAACGAAAGCAAAACGCCATATTTGATCATGGAGGCAATTGGGAGCCATTGAAGTGTATTAAATAGGGTGGTCAGACCCTTGCTAAGCTATTAGTGATTTCTTGATTGCCAGATATGAAGGTATTTTGACAATCTTCATCTTTTTTGACTCTTCTGCAACATTCGCTGTTGTTACCCAACCTCTCCTCCTGTATACCAGTCTCCTTTTTAGTTCCTCATCTGTGTGATGTTCTTTAATTGTGGGAGTCCCTAATGCTGCATTCTGGGTCTCTTCTCTCCCCTAGCCATTACATATCTCATTTTGCTGACTTCATCAGTTCTCATTGTTTGATGATTATCTTTGTGCAGATGACTGGGAGCCAGCATAGCACAGGGGAAAGAGCCATGGACTCCAAGTCAGAAGACTGTGTGTGTGTGTGTGTGTGTCTGTGTGTGTGTGTGTGTGTATGTGAAATCCTTCCTCTGCTTTTTACCTCCTGTATAACTTTGGGCAAATCACTCTATCTCACAAGGCCTTATTTCCCCACCTGTAAAAGGAGGCAGTTGGATTAGATGATGTCTAAGTTCAACTTTGACTCTAAGTCCATAATTCTCTGATTCCCAGATCTGTAGATCTCACCTTGGTCTCTCTAGGAGCTCCACTTCTCCACCACCAACTACATATTAAACTTTTCATATTGGATGTCTAATAGGCATCTCACACTCAACATCCCCAGACAGATCCAGTATCTTTCTCTTAAAACCCACCATCTTTTAAAATAAATCCTTTCTTCTTACTATGAACTTTGCAAATATCAATAAACCTGACTATTTCCCAAGACAAAAAAAAAACATATTAAGAAGACTGTTTGTGAAATTGTGAATTTTCACAACATATGACTTTTTTAAAAAAAATGATTACTATTTTATATCCCCTTCTAAACTTCCTTCTGTCCTCTTTTGTTGATTTTAAAGATTTAAACTCTTTCCTTTCTTTCCTTTTTCTGGTAGCATTATGAATACCTCCTCACTTTCCCTTTCCCCAATAAACCCTATCTTCTTTCAAGTAAGCAATGAGCAAATAGAGTCATACAAAACAGATCCACCCCTTGGCTATGTCTGAGTATGCATGCCTCGTTCTGCACCTCCAGTCCATCACCTCTCTGCTAGGAGCCAGGAAAACAAGCTTCATCATTAAGCTTTTGGAGACCAGATTGGTCACTGCAAATCTCTCCCCTTTCCCAAACTTCCTTATTTATGTTGGAGGACACCTCCATCAGTCCAGTCTCCTAGCATTACGAACTTGGCAATGTCTCCATAACCTCACTTAGACTATCAGTTGACAAATCTTGCCAATTATACCTCCCCTACATCTTTCAAGCTGAGCATTTTTTGTTTCTAGTCACACACTCCTCCCTGTAGTTCAGGCCCTCATCACCCCTCACCTGGACTGCTGGCCTTATGATTGGTCTTTCTGCCTCGCGTCTCTCCCCGCTGTTCCCATCCACCCTTCATTAAGTAATTTCCCCAAAGCACTTGTCTGACCATAGCATTCCCCTATTCAGTCAATTTCAGTGCCTCTGGACTGCCTCCAGGATCAAACATACACTTTTCAGTTTGGCATTCAAATGCCTTTACAACCTGATCTCAGCCAATCTTCACAGGCTTTCTATAGATCACCTCCTAGAAAACATTGTGTCATTCAGGCCAACTGGCCTTCTTGCTGTTGCTCATATATGATGGCCAGCCTTCCTTGCCTGTGTGCCCACATCCAAAATACCTGGAATATGCTTCTTCCTCCCCTCTGCCCCTTGGAATCACTTCTTTCCTTCAAGATTCAACTCACGCAAGGCCTTCTAGTGCTCCTAGTGTCCACTGTGCCAAAATTACCTTGTGTTTATTTTGTATGGAATTTGTACGTACAGGGCCTTCACAAAATCCTACACTCAAAACTACACTAAGACTTTTGGGACAGCTTGCCTCTCTCTCTCGGTCTCCCTCTCACTCTCTCTTGCTCTCTCTGTCTCACTCTGTCTCTCTCTCTGTACCTGCCATCTCCCCTGATCTATGGTAAATGTTTTAAGGGCAGGGACCTTTTCATTTTTGACTTAGTATCCCCAACACTTGATGCATACTAAGTATTTAATGAAAACTTGTTGATGGATTAGTTGGCTGATTGATCAGCAGTACTAGGCTTAAAGAATTCTCATTGTCTAGCACAGAGAGCAGACTTAGTTATTTTTGCTTGCATAAGCTTTATTTAAAGTCAAGCAGACACTTGACACTTACTAGCTGTGTGACCCTGGGCAAGTCACTTAACCCAATTGCCTAAAAAAAAAAAAAGCCAAGCAGAGATAGAAATTAACCATCTCAAAATGGCCCTCAGCAGAATCAGCAGCAGTTCCCCAAGGTTTCCCTATCCCTGGTTGATCTTGAATGCTAGGTAGGCAACAACCAGCACTGTGAATTTGCATAACCCTTTGGGACAACCATTAGAGTTGAAGACTCCTGTCTTTTTTGGGGTGCATGTGGATGTGAGGGGGAGATAATAGCTTCAATAGGGATTTTAGACTAAGAGGGGGGCTCTGCTTGAACTAATTTCACTCTGGATGCTGTTGATGGTGAAGAGTATTTCTCTAACCTGAATTCAAGTTTTGGGGCCCATTCCCAAGCTTTTGGGAGTATTGCACTATAGGCCAGGAGAACCTCTCAGTCTGAACGTGCCAACATTCATTCAACAACATCTACTACTGGTTACATATTTGAAAGAATACTTATATACTAGCTAATAATAATAATAACTATATATAGTTTTGTGTATAATATAAAAACTATATAGTTTATATACAATAATAATACAACTATATGTAGCACTTTAAGGTTTATAGAGCACTTTACATATATCATCTCATTTGAGTCTTATAACAACTCTGTGAGGTAGGTACCATGTTTTACAGATGAGGAAACTGAGGCTTAAAGAAGTGACTTGTCCAGAGTCACACAGTTAATAGGTGAGGCAGTCCTTAAACTCAGGTCTTCCTGACTCCAGATCCAGCACTTTGTCTTCTGTACCACCTACAGATTGTGCCTCAGATTCCATAATAGGAAAGTGACATATAGGAAGAATGCATGTACATGTATATATATATATGTATATATGTATGTGTGTATATATGTATATATACACACATATAAATATATGTATATACACATACATAGTTTTATATATATGTATTTACACACACACACACACACACACACACACACACACACAGATATATATTAGGAGGATTACATAGCTAGAATCTATTCTGCTAAAGTCTTTCTGTAATACCCACAGTGATACGAAGGTAAGCCTATGTTCTGAGAGACTGCTCTAACACAGTGCCAGCTTTGGCAGGTTCTGCTAACCTGGAGCCACATTGGGCACAGGCCTTGCAATGGACTAGAGGGTCTGTCATCTGAGGACCACCCTAACTAGTTAACAAAGGCTCAACTCCAGGAAGCTGGACACACCAACTGATGAATACTTTTGGCTGTAGAAAGTCAGGAATCCATTTACACTGGGGTGAGAGAGTTGGGCTTTGCACGGGTGGAGGGAGCACAGACATGAGTAAAATCAGGAATTTTTTGAAGTAATGAAGGATGCTACACAAAAAAAATCAAGATTATTGTGACTTGTAAGTTCCATTGCTCTGAATTCAACTGCCTTTGATGAAGACATCAGGGAACCTGGGATAGGCTTGTCGTCTCTGTAATCATATCTACCTTGGTTTTCCTCCCAATCTTGTCTGGGCTCAGTGAGAAGGTTGTCTTTTTCTGATTGTTCAATAGCCTTTGGGCCCAAATTCCTATGAAAACAAATGATATGTTCGGGAAATTAAAGCTAAAAATGAGATCAGCTAATAATATTAATAATAATTAAAATATAAAATAATAATAATTAATAATAGCTAACATTTATATAGTACTTATTGAGTGCTTTACAAATATTAATCTCATTTAATCTAATAGTATGTTTTCTAACAGTGTAAAGGCAAACAGAGATAGCTGCTCCATTAAATAGTTACAAGTTATTTTTTTGTAAACGACTTTTGCTTCCATGCCTGGCACAAGTGGATAGGATACATTTGCTTTTTAAGTTGTTGTTCAGTTGTGTCTGACTCTTTGTGACCCCCTTTGGGGTTTTCTTGGCAAAGAAAACTGGGGGCGGTTTGCTATTTCCTTCTCCAGCTCATTTTTCAGATGAGGAACTGAGGCAAATAGGGTTAAGTGACTTGCCCAGAGTCACCCAGCTAGTAAGTGTCTGAAGCCAGATTTGAACTCAGGAAGATGTCTTCTTGATTCCAAGCTGAGCACTCTATCCACTGTGACACTTAGCTGCCCTGCCTTTTAAGTAGGTATAAGATATAGAACTAAGTCTAAGATTTTCCTCAATAAAACAGGTGGGGTGAGGGTTGGGTGAAAAGTTGGTGGAAGAAGTGCCTACATGAGTGGTCATAGATTTTAGAGTTGGAAGGGACCTCAGAGCTTTCCTAATTCAAGCCCCTCATTTTACAAATGAGGAAACTGAGGAAAGTAAAGTGATTTTCCTAAGAATATATAGGTAGTACCAGGCTCTAAATCTATAATTCTACCAAGGTAGTGACTATGAAGAACTTCATCAATGGTTTTCTTGGGCAAATGGGTGGAAGAAACATTCATATATCTCGTAACAAATAGCTTGCTTCAGAATAAATAAATCAGTTTGATAAAGGGAGGGTGGGGTGGGTCTAAAAGGGCAAATTTTCTGATTCAGCAGGATTGAAGGCCACAGAATTCAGAGGTCAATTGTTCCCAGGTTTAAGAGAAGCTAATCAGGATACTAGGACGACAGGCAAGCTCTGCATTTCAAATATAGACTTAGTCATAGCCTAGAGCAAATCAACAGAGAATGTGCTGATTCAGCCAAACAGGGTTAGAGTGCAACCAGCTATTAGCCAGGTTGTCCTTCTCGTAGCAAAAGCAGTAGTAATTATCAGCCTCATTTGGGCAATTTGGAAGAGCAAAAAGAGACCACTAGGATTGATTATTTTTCTGAGATAATTTGAGCATTAACCCCTCCCCTGCCCTCAGCTAAACCTTGAACCTGTCTTTGTGGTTTAATGAGTATCTTCCAAGTGTCTATTAAATCAATTGATTTAAGAGAGAGAAAGGTGGGGGAGGGTGGTGCAGTGTTCCACACTACAAACTGACCCCCCAGATTAGTTTCGTAACTGGAAAATTAAATGTACTTTGTCTGAGAGAGTTTTAGGTTTAAATGAATTTATTACCACTTAATCAGCCAAAGTATATTAGATTTCAAGAAAGGTTGGAAAACAACAAAAAGCTGCGTATTCTAAATGAAGCTGATTTTAGTGAGCCCAGAGAGAGAAAACAAAGAGAAAGGCTTTAAATGTGGTTAATGTTGCACTTACAATTGTTTATTAGGGTTCTCTTCAGAGAAGCCGTCCTTTCTTTTGGCATTCATTAAGACCTGGAAACCAAGAGAAAAATCAATGAGAAACTAATGGTGAGGTAGCTTTCAGGTTAAGTCCCTTAGGAGGCCCCCTTGGCAGAGATTTTATGGTCCTTGCAAACTGGGGGGGGGGGGCTTTATTGTTCTTCTATGAATAGCTTTATTTAGGCAAGGTTGCCTATGGCATCCTTGGGCTGGGCATCGTATTATTAAGGTTAGGTGGTCCTTGAAGAGGTCATCCAGTATAACCCTCATCTTCAGGCCCTGTCCAGGGTCTGAACATGAGAAAGATACCTGGTTTAAGTGGTGGAATCACCACTGTAGAAGATGCATTACTATTTGCTTTGCCTTTGTACCTTAAGGGCTCTGGGACCTTTCCAACTGACTTGTAGCTTCAACTTGCTATATGTGTTGTCTGTCCTATTAGAATGTTATCTCCTTTAAAACAGACACTGACATACTTTTCTATTTGTACCCCAGTGCTTAGAGAAGTGCTTAGCACGTGGTAAGCACAATGCTTTTTCATTCATCTATCCACCCATCTACTCATTCATTCATTCATTCATTCATTATTTCAATCTAACTCTGAAAGAATGTCTTCTCTCAGACTTCTCCGGCTGGATCTCACAAGTATATGCTACTATTCCAAAGCTGAAGAAGAAATTTTCATATTAAGGTAAGTTTTGATTATTGTACCCCCTTCAGTTTTGTTCCCAATCCAGCATTTATACCCATGCCCCTGTGTTACTATCCACAGGAGTCTTCTGGCCTTCACTCATGTGTGTCACATATATGTGACTAAATATTACAAAATATGGAAATACAGGTCATGAAAACTAGAATTTTCTAGCATAAAATAATTTGTTGTTTAGTTGTTTCAGTTGTGTCCAGCTTTTCATGACCCCATTTGGGGTTTTCTTGGCAAAGCTACTGGAATGGTTTAGCATTTCCTTCTCTAGCTCATTTTATGGATGATGAAACTGAGGCAAACAGGGTCAAGTGACTTACTCAGGGTCACCCAGTTAGTAAGTGTCTGAGGCCAGATGTGAACTCAGGAAGATGAGTCAGGAAGATGGGACTTTAAGTAAAACATTATCCCCTATCCCCCCTACCCCAGCCCTCAGTTACTTCATCTGTAAAACCAGGTTGAGGTGGAGAGCAGAATGAAAGGTAGTGTTGCATAATGAATAGAAAGCTATTGACCCTGGGGCAAGTTACTTACCCTCTCCATGACCCGGACACCATTGAGAATGAAACGAATAAATGAATGAAAAACCACATATTCCATGCTTTCTGTGATCCAAGCACTGTGTTGAGTTTTCAATCCATGGAAATGACAAGAATGGATATTTAGAACTGAAAGAGACCTGAGAGGCCATCGAGTCTGGTCTCTTTGTTTCACAGAGGAGTAAACTGAGGCAGAGAAAGACTAACTGACTTGTCCAAGGTCACATGGGCAGTAAGTGACAGAGCCAGAATTTTAGCCCACGTCAGCTTACACCAAAGCCACATTCTTTCCACTGGACCACACTGCCCCCTAGGTCCACTCACCCACGCACAAAAGCAAAAATAAAGGCATTAGTTTATCTGATCTTTAAGGTTTCATTGCACCCGTAAATCAGATGGGGGAGCTTAGAGATGCTGAAATACATTTGAAGAGAATCTTCCCACTATAGGGCTATGATGTTGAAAAGAGTTAAAACTCCTGACACCTCTTACTTTTACACCCTTCAAAAGGACGCTGGGATTTCTTGTTGTGTAGTGGAAAGAACAGTGTTCTGGGAACCGAAGGACTTCGATTTGAATCCTGGTTCTTCCAAACACTACCTGCATGACCTTGTGTAAGACACAATCTTTCTGGTTCTTGTTTTCCTCACCTCCAAAACACTGGGCCTTGACCAGATGACCTCTGAGGTCTCCCCCAGCTTTAAATCTTCTCCCCACCTGGTTGCTTGGAGCACTGAAAAGCTCATTTAAACAGGTAAGAAGAGGTCTCAGTAGGTAAGGGAGGTGCTGGACACTCAAGTGATCAAGACTGGGGCTAAATTGAAAAGCCACATACCTGGTATTTGGAGGCTCCATTAACCACTTGCAACAGCAGAACAGCTAAGCTGGCTAATAGGATCAACCTGGGGAGAGAGACAGAGACAGAGAGACAGAGACAGAGAGAGACACACAGAGAGAGACAGAGAGACAAGCAGAGAGAGTTAGAGACAGAGACACAGAGACACAGAGAGAAAGAGAGAGACAGAGACAGAGAGAGAGAGA